TTTTTTTTTTTTTTTTTCATAATTGATGATCTGTAGATATAAAAACAAATATGTCTTGTTTATGAAGACAGCTGAAATTGCACTATTATTTAATAATAATAGTGAGTGGTGAATGAATGTACACTTCTTATTAACAGTGGTTGCTGTTGTAGCAGAGTTCATTCCATTACCTACATTCTTAACTCTATTTAAAAAGAAGTATAGTGATATAAAACAGAATAATATAGTCAAATCTTACTACGGCAATTTTTTGATAAATTCCTTCATAACAATAAGAAATATTCCCTACACAGTTTATACTAGCTTAACAAAACTTTTTCCAGGTGAATGATATCCTTTACTGCAATAAATTGTTTAGCAAGGAATTTTTTTTAAACTGTATTTGTAAAATGTGTAGACTTTCCTTTCTTTATCACAGTAATAATGCAGTAAATTAATTTCAATGTATCACTCATTTTTAGAATCAAAATATAGTACTCTTAATATACAATTCCACAAAAATATTACTTGCAGGCAGTTAGTACAAAACCTGAACAGATTTCCAGATTTAGCATGTTTTTGGTGTTTCAGCATTAAATTTTTTAATAATAATATATCTAACTTTCCAAAAATAACCCTACTTGTAGTCTGACAAGGTTACATGGAGGAAGGGAATATTTTAGAAATCTCTCTCCACAATATTTTTTCTTGTTTTGCCTAATATTGTTAGTGATTTCACTGTATTTTGTTAATAAATAAATTACGTTTTTTAGAAAGATAATACTATACTATGTGAAATAACAATGAATGAAATGTTATAAATGTAATGTTTCTAACATTTTTTTAAATTCTAATGAATGAGTTTTTTTTTTAATTGTAGAAGGAAGTAGCAGCAATGTATGGAGAGACAATAAAGATAAGAGATCAGACAGATTACGTAATAAAGAAGAACCAGATGAAGAAGGATGGAAGCGTGTCTGTCGTTAATAAATTAAATTGATTACTTCAATGACGCCTTAAAAGTCTGCATAGAAATATGCAAAATGATAATGGCTTCCGTTTGATTTGGGATTTGCTTTGATAATCAACTATATAAAATCAGCATTTAAAATTTTCAAATCAACTTATTCTAGTTTTATATGGTTATTGCTAAATTATTAACATTGATTTTTTTTTATAGTATTACTATACTGGTCTTACTAATTATGGAAATAGTAGGAGAATAAAGCAAAATCTGATTATCATAATTATTTTATTGATAATATGAATGATCTTTAAATTTTGCAAATTTTAATAAGAATTTAATGTTTCATTTAAAAAACATGCATATTTTATGATGCATTTCTGTAACAAAGTATGTATAATTTTTTTCTGTTTTTTTTTTTGGATTGTTGTATATTTGAGCTAATTGGTAATTTTTCTCGGTACAGTAATTTAATAAATCATCTCTCGTAAACTCTTCTTTTGGAAATTTACAGCCATATATCTTCTATTTTAAAAATTAACTGAACAGGGATTTGTATAAATAATATATTATGCATAGAGATATTGTATCTCAATGCTTTTTGAAAGATATTTTACATCAATAATAGATAAATTAGTTTTATGATCACAATATGAAAAAATAATTTTTAGTTACTGATTCTCAGTAGGATATAATTTTTTAATATGTAAGTTTTACAGTTAAATAAATATCTGCATATCATTGGATTTCTGATTGTTCAAACTTTAAATATTATACACAACCATTCAGATTTATTGAATAAAAATTAAATAATTAAAAAATAATCATTTTCCATAATTTTCATAATTATTTCCAATTTAACTATAAGTAATAAAATGTGTTTTTCTTTAATGTACTATTTTTTATGAAGAAAGTAATTTCTCAATTTATATCCTAAAATGATTCTTCACAACAAATGATCAGTAGAAAATAGAATAAAAAAAATAGAATAGAATAAAAAAAAATAGAATAAAATAGAATAAAAAAAAATTTTGATTGTTATATTCTTAAATGATTAATAGTCTTATCTGTCATTCTGTGGGTGATTTTTGCTTCTTTTATCATTTAGTCTTTAAATTATAGCTTAAATAATACTGAAAGAATATTAGTTTCATATTATATACAGTAATTTATAGAATACTAATAAAATTTAACCATATTAAACATTACAAATTGATTATGTAATAAAAGGCAATAATTAGTTTAAAATAAAAATTGCATCTTTGAATAATAATGTATTTGCACTCTTCTTCAAAATGTTTTCCACCATTTGGAACTCCAATTGGCACATTATTAACTGCGTGTATATCACATTTAGAGGTTTGGGTTTAGTGTTACACAATTATTACGTAATTGTTATTAAACTTACGTCATCACAGATATAATATATTGTAATACCAAAGAATCAAAGACAGAGAGATAGATCTGACTCACTGTCTGGCATTTTATGCCTTGAAGTCATTTTATTTTGGATTTATATAGGTCCTTAATAACAACTTTGCCATTAATCAGACTACTATGAATTTCAACATACAGTACCTTGCAGCAGTCAAACTGTTGATCTTTGTATCTTTTAGAAGTATGACTATACTCATTTCTGATATTTACTGTAGGACTGGACTTTGTGCTCCATGAAGATGTGAAATCCTCCAGATAAACACTTCTGTTATAATTATATGAGTGCTAAGGTAATATCCATAGTTTATCTAATGTCACAACACCTGCATTTCGCATAATCCATTTGTAACACGAGTTGAAAAGGGACATAATTATCCGAAATGCATAATCAAAGAAATAAAAAGTTTTTCTAAAGCTTGTCCTCATTTTTATTGATGGTATAATAAGTGTAGCAAAAAAGAAAATCCGCCTTAGAGCTTGTATAATTTAACACAAGACTAGACAAGAAGTGTATCGCATACTTGTTATAGTTCTGATTGACAACTTTAATGCTGAGGTTCTCCATTAAAGTGAAGTGCTCTTAAAATTATACTTATGATGCATCATATGTTTATTATTGAATACAGAGCAATCATATCATCTGTAGTATATATGTGAGTACAATTGTCCAAGCCAACCAGAGAAAATCACTTTTCATCTGAAAAACCCTCCACATCAAAATCATTTTAAGTACCCTTGGATGATACTGAGCAAACTTCCAGGTGCACTTGCATCTATCTGTCTTGTAGTCAGACAAGTTTCTTCCATGTTTTCCAGTAGATAAAACCTTCCAGTTTCAGGATACATTTAAATTCAAGAAAATATAGACCGTAAATAGAAATAAAATTATTATTGATAAACAAATTCTGCCATTTTGTTTTATACCTTAGTACAGAAATTCTTAAACTGGTATAGAGATTCTAGGGGTCTGCAAGTGATTTTTCAAACAGAATTTTTATTTTATAAAAGTAATAGAAATACTATGCAATCCCAATTAATCTTTCATTATAATCAATTGTTAGAATTTCTTTTAAGTACTGTAGTTTAAACAAATTCCTGCTGTATAAGTAGGGTTGCCATCTCCGGGTTTCAGCAAGTTGTATCCGGGCACCGGATTTAAGTATTTTTCCAGGTTGTGTAGTAAATCCCCGTGAAGTTATAAAAATAATGTATATTAGAAATTCAGCAGTTCAATATTTCCATTTATAGAAAAGAATTCAAAATAGAATTGACTTTTATGAAGATCCAGGCGAAAATTCTTGAGTTTAATTGATACAAGATTATTGAATTGTCTTCAACAATGTAAACTTGACTTATCAAATGTAAGTTCTTACTCTGTAGATAGCTCATCTGTTAATTACGGCAAGAAATTAATCGGCCCTAATATTCATTTTATTGGACTTATGAATCAGCATATTTTACAGCTTGAAAATCAATCAGTAACAAGTTCCGAATTGCATGGAATAATGTTATCTGAAAAATAAACCAGAGAATAGATTAGATCAATTTTTCAGTATTAAAATGAATACAAATTTATACCACGTATTTCCTAACTACCTGTGAGAAACAAACATTTGTTACTGAAGCAAAGGTATACATAAAGGCTATTGATTACTTGGTATAATTTTGAAAACAGCCCATTCAAATATTTTTTAGTAATTAATCTTAGTATTTGAAATTTTCGTTCCTAAGACTTTTTAGATGCTGCAAAATATGTAAATGTAGGAATTAGATGCGGATAAATTATATGATGATATATTCCTTTTTAAAAATATCATTCCTTTCATCAAATCGCTCGATTTGCCAACCAATAAAAATATTTTTCTCTGATGTTTTCACCGAATTACCAAAACTTGTTGGTAACATTCTATCGATATCTATAAGTAATGCATATGCAGAAAGAATTTTTTCGACTGGAAAATACTTGGACAGAACCGTAACAGGATGCGGATTGAACAGGTAAAGACAGAGAATTATGCCCAAAGCTTAATTTCGACATGAGCTGCCGAGAATTTTACGAATTCATAAAATCAGAAAATGCCGATTTTGTAAAAGCTGCGATGTCAGACAAGAAATATACATGGAAAAGTCTACATAAATAAACAAATTATTATATGTTAATTGGTATAGATTGTTTATCTGTTGTTATTTTATATATAAAAATACATTAAATGTTAAGGTATTTTTATTAATACAGTAGAGCGTCGTTTATCCGAATCAATTGGGGACTGGGGTTGTTCGGATTAGTGATGTGCCGGATATCGGTATTCGTATCCGAGGGGGAAAAAAGATCCGTATTCGTATCCGTATCCGTTACTTTTTAGCGGATCTTTAACGGATCTTTTATCTTAATGTATTTCATTACTTGTATGAAATTTTAAAGCAATAAAGATAAGTAGCAATAAAATACCAACAACTTCAATTCAAATCACTGTTTGTTTCTTAAAATCACATATTTGGCACATTCACATTGCAAAAATTTTATCATGCAAAATTCATTTACTATCGTAAAATATTTCCATCTTACACTACTAAACATTTTTTTCGACATTGTTTTTATTTTAATTTAACACTCTCCAAAAATACAAACGTAATCTACGCTATTCCGTGTCACACTAAACTATAAACAAAAACACGCAGTGCGAGTCAAAACACGTCGCGTACTAACGCAAAGCGTTAACTATCGGTCCAAGGTCACACGCACCGGCGACGACTGAGTACGAAAGTTGAGATCCGTATCTGCGGATCTAGACACTAATGATCCGTATCCGCGGATATACATTTTTAACGATCCGGCACATCACTAATTCGGATAAGCGATTATGTACGAAAAGATATATTAACCTATCCCATGTTGAAATTTTTCTCCGTTGCGTGTCGCTTCGCGTTGAATTTTCGTCGATGTTAAACCTAACGTAAACTTTTTAAAATAATAATCGTGGCTATTGTATCGTTAAACATTATTTCTTTATTTTTTACAAACAAAATAAATATACAGTAGAGCGTCGATTTTCCGAAAGTCAATCATCCGGAAGATTTCCAGTCGGCAAATTTAAATTTTCGCCAGTGCTGTGGAAGTTCAATCTTTGGCTATGTCTTGGGCTACTCAAATATTTTACGTTTTTGATACTAAATTAACATCTGAAGTATAATTTTTTATTGTTTTTATATTTTTCAATATATTTATTTTGTTTGTACAAAATAAAAAAATAATTTTTAACGATACAATAGTCTTTGTTAGGCTTAACATCGACGAAAATTCAACGCGAAGCGACACGCAACGGAGAAAAATTTCAAAATCGGATACGTTTAACTATTTTTTCGTACATAAATCGGTTATCCGAAATATCAGTTAAACGAACAACCCCAGTCCCCAATTGATTCGGAAAATGACGCTCTACTGTATTGAAAAATATAAAAACCAAAAAAATTATACTTTAGAAGTTAGTCTAGTATCAAAAACGTTCGATTCAGCGTGACAGTCCTCAGAAAAACACCACACAAAAGTGCCAGTGTTGCCAGCTAAAACACACACATCAACAAAAAAATATTGGAGTAGCCCAAGATATAGCCAAAGATTGCAGCGCCACAGCACTAGAGAAAATTTAAATTTGCCGACTGGAATTCTTTCGGATAAACGACGCTCTACTGTATGCATATAATGTGGATAGTAAGTGATCGTTAGAATTGTATTTAATTTGTAGGAATTTTAGAATGTAATTTTTTTCAATAATAATTTATATAAATAAAAACATTAAGCATGTGTGTGTGTGTTTTTTTCCGCCATCGTCTCTGGATGAGACCTAGGTCTAAGATGGCAACCCTATGCATAAGTGTAAAGATAATGGTTATGGTCTAGCAAAATGCATCACATGAAAGGGGTCTTCAAATTCATAAAATTAAGTTTCTGCCTTTCTAGTGTCATTGTGGTATGGAAAAAGATGATCAGTATCCACAGGGCAGAATTAAAATAAATATAAATAAAACTGGATGTATGCAATTAATCTATATACATAATAAAATCTGAATAT